TTGATTAATAAAAAAATTAAGTTTGAACAAACAGATATTAAAATATTGATCAGTATATTTTGTTTGAGAATGTCAATAATATATAAATTTCAATTAAATGAAATGTTTCTATTCAAATAAAAGTACAAAATTCATACATAAAGAGAATTGGTCAAGAAAGATTTTAGAAAATGAATCTCATTTAGAGGAGAATTACTGTCATACGATCAGTGACATAAAGAAAGGATCTATTATTTTTTACATGTGAATGACTTGTTTTTTGATATTTTTATGAGAAATATATTGACGTGTAAGCATTCGAATGACTAACATAGACACATTTTGTATCGTTCGTGTTGGTTACTAATACAATGTTTATTGGTTTAGAAAGAAAAGCAAATTAAGGTGCACTCCTCTACAAAAAAGGAAGAGAATCATCATCATTGGATTACTAGTCATCATTATAAAAAAAAAAAACTTTTCTTCTTGTTCTGACACGTGTTTCGTTTTTGTAAAAGGTAAATACTTAATGATCACGACGCTATTTCAATAGCATGTTATTATTACTTTTTTCAAATAGGTATGTCACTCACAAAATTTGAATCACTTCCAAATGAAATCTTAACTGATATTATTGAGAAATATATTAATGGTATCGATTTACTTCGAGCTTTTAGTTTTCAACTAAATCAACGAATTGATTCACTTATTATTCAATCTCAAAGACTTCATTTTAATTTTATTCAATGTCATCAAGATGATTTTTGTGTTTGTATGAAACTTTTACCACCTTATTTAGATAAAATAGAAGAATTAGCCATATCTGAACAAGATACACCTGGTCAAATTTATACTTTTCTATCTTTTTTTCAATCATTTACATTATTTAAACAACTTCGAAAACTTTATCTTCATTTAGACGATCGAATTCTTGATTGGAAAATTTTTGAAAATGCTCTTTATTCCTTATTAGAAACGAAGATTAATACATTATCAATAAAAGCAACTATCAAAGAAAATCGATCTTCAATGGAAAACATTATTGTCTGTCTTTTTGACTTAAAATCGTTAAGAAGTTTTTCTTTTTTGAGCAACTTCAATGATATGAAGTGGGATAATTTAGCAAATATATCGTCAAATATTGAGTATTTGACTCTTTCTGGTATATATTGTGAATTGCAAGATCTACAATATATTTTCAAATGTGCTTCTCATCTTAAATATCTTGATGTTGAAATAGCCGATTGGCAAATGCGTTTTTATAGTGAAAAAGAAAAGCGTTCAAAAACGATTATTCTCGTTATGTCGAAACTTCGTAAACTTGTATTAAATTTTGCTGAAAACAGTTTAGTAACGATAGATATGTTAACAGAATACTTGAATTTAATGCCTGCTTTAAAATATCTTGAGATAAAAGCACATCGCAAACTTCTTGATGCAAATAGATGGATGTTAATGTTAGAAACATCACTGCCATTACTAAATCATTTTATTCTTCGAACAGTTTTATCTCGTATCTACACAATTGGACTGAATAATGTCCTTTCGTCCTTTCAAAATTCATATTGGCTATCAAAACAAAATTTTAATCTAATAATAATCGAACATGATCCATGGAACCATCTTAGTTTTGACATAGATGAAACAAAATCTCATATTCGGCATAAATTTGATGGGTGTATGATTCGATATTGGATAGTACCAAATCGAAATATTAATAATGATCTCATGATAGTTAATGAAAGCATAATTTTGAAACTTGATGACATAAACAATCTAATATCACCTACTTACTATTTTGACAATGTGAAATCTCTTATTATTAATTATATGGATAGTGCTCTACTCAACTGGTTATGTTCACATGTAAATTGTTCTAATATAAGGCAAGTCACTATGAGAAGCTCGCCAAAAATGACTAGTGGATTGCATAAATTACTGAAATATGTCACAAATATGAATTCATTTAATATAAACTTCAATCTGCTCTTGGCTAATATAGATATTTTCATGAAAAATATCAATTGTGTAAAAGAACTTAACTTATCTAATTCTAAGCATGAATTCAGCGAAGAAATTATTATTATTATTGACAAGTGTTTTCCTTACATAGAACATCTTGAAATAAATACATCCAATTTCGAGAACATTCCACTACTGAAGAAATATTGCGTACATCTTCGAATTCTTACCTTTTACAATGTAAACTTGTACTGTCTTGAGTTTGATAACAATGGAAGAAATAAATGGGAATGTGATTTACGACAAAAACCTAAATTTTTGTTTCAAGTTACAAACAATAGAATGACAGTTTGGCTTGATCAAGCTGCATTTGAAGATCCATATTGGCAAACATTTATCAAGCAACCATCTCAATCAACGATTTCATCAAGCCGACTTACAATATTCAATCGTCGAGTAACTACTAACACTTCTGATACTTCAACAAAAAAGAAATCTATATTCTCCTATTTAAATTTTTTCAAAAAGTAGCTGGCAAAAAATCTTATCTTTTTTTCATGAGAGGTTTTATTTCAAATATCTTATTATTAATCCTATTTACCATTGTGAAAACGATAATTTTTAACTAATATATATTCAATATCTACTTAATTAATGTCGAATCAGTGATCTTATTGATAATTATTACTACTTTTTTTTTGCATAAAAATGCTTTAATCTTGAAATTTCAATTTGTTAGTTTTATTAAAGGTCAATCTTCAAGAATTATTAAAATTTTTCTCTATAGCATTATTGTATCAATTAAGGTTATTTTATTACTGTGATTTCTACATAATTTGGTAAGGCATCCGAACATAGAATATAACTTAAAGTAATCCGTAAGAGAAAGGCCACTCTTATTCATTCAGCATTTGCATGAAATGATGTTCCAGAGCTGAAATGAATCAAAATTATTAAGACAATTAGGCTAACTTTGTATTGACCGATGAAATGAATAGGATAATGATCTATATAGCATAGAAACTCAGATCACAATTTTTTAAATCTCGAGTATACGAGTGTGCTTCTTCTTTTCGCTGAGACAAAATCCAGACAGACAGTCACAACCATGTCTATCTACTTCTTCAGTCTGTACCGAAAAAGAACTTATTTGTTAATTAATATTTTAAACAAATTGATGTTTTTCTATTTTTCTCGATGAATGTAAATGTTTCAAATGAATAGTTATAGATCGTTCAGTTTCATTGAGTCGCAGAGAACCTATAGAAACTTAAATGTTGAGAGAATCATTTGTTGTGTTTTAACCTATCGATGTTATTAGTTTTAATAGAGAGAATTTACAAATATTCTCGAAACTGTAGACATCAGTGTATTGAAACCTAAACAATTCAATAGTTTTTCGTACTCGATTAACCAATCTTTCTGAAAAATCTGAAAATATATTAGAATAAATTTCCTTCTTCTATCATCAAAAATCCATGGTTACCGAAAAGAAATGTCTAAACAATAAGTTAGATACGAAGTCAAAAGAATCTCACAAAAATTTGTATTAAAACATTATTTCATAAAAAAAGACATGTTTTCAAGAGATATATGAATCAACCATTGAGAAGTTTATGTTTCTTGGTTATGAGTTATCAATAAAATTCAATGGAAATATATCATCAGTGTTACATATAATGCTTTAGTAATTCGTATATATATATATATTTATAATAAATCTGACAATTGTTTTTCACACCATAAAACAAACATGAAGCAGAACCTCCTTCGAGTTATTAATGCAATGAAGGATACTATTCAATACATTTAGCCAATGTTACTTGTCATAAAATACAGAAATTTTCATTTCAGTGATATCGCTCAGTAATTCTGTGAAGTTTCATTTCATGAAATATTCCACTTTATGAATAAGTGTTTTTGAGGATATACGATTTAATGTATTTAAAACATCGAGTATTCACTAATAGGTAGCATTCTATAGTTGAGATTTAAAGTGCCCTAAATATAACAACAGATCTCTCTGTTCGAATTATTCTTGATACTAGTTTTAATTAACAAAAATAAATTGAGTGTTTCACTCACCACAATAAGAATTCAAAGCTATCGCTTTATGCAAATGACTTTAATCTCGACCTACACATACTGAGTAAAACGGAATTTTCTTCCAAACGGAGAAGGATTTTTGGGTGTGGGTGTGGGTGTGGGTATGGGTGGGATGTGCGTGAGGGATGTGGGTGTGAGGTGTGAGGGTGTGGGTGTCGGTATGGGGTGAGTATGGATGATAAGCGTTAGTACATATGAAAGAATAGTACACACCCATACCCATACCCACACCCACACGACACACACCAACACCCACACGACACACACCTACCCACACCCAGTATAGGACTTGAGGACCTAAGGGTAGCTCTATAGGATAGCTGTTGGGAACCTATTGGTACCTGCATATGGTAGCTCTTGAGGATGGTTGAATATTTCCATATTCTATACGAAATGATTTCAAACCTCAAGGAAATTGAAATATATCTTGTTTAGCGTGAGAAAAATTTGTATCTTCGTTGTATATTATTTATTCTCATTGTGTGCTTCTTGTATTATTATCGTACTCCTAGGATTATCATTGTACTCCAGGGATTGTCATCGTACTCCCGGGATTATCAACGTACTTCCAGGATTTTTCGGTTTATCATTGGATTTTTATGGATTCTGAAATCTGATAAACCGCCGTTTCTCCCTTGAGTTTATCTGTCTAGAATAAAAATGCACGTCTCTTTTCCATTTAAAAAAATAACAATATAATTGTCGAATCATTTTCACTAACATGAAACAAGCCAATGAACAAAGTAAATACAATAGATTTGCGCAAACGATGACTAAATGGCGTCATTCATATAACCACTCGTTGACTACAAGCCAAAATGCTAAAAGAATTCAATATACTAAATTAGCGAATATTTTGGTATTCTTGTCACGAATCATATTGATAATTGCATACTTTCTTCAACCAGAAGTATAATAACGGTCACAACATAGATCAAGCATTGATGATTTGTCAAGCTATTTGTTCACCTATTAAAGTATCAAATGGAAAATGAAATGCAAGTAATTGACCGTAATAATCAAATTCAGTATTGAAAGTGGATCCAGGTGTAGCTAATAGATATGGTACATTCGTATTCGTATTTAATTGTTGTATTTTCATATTCTAAAGACGTTGTGAGTTGAGTCTATAAAGCTTTTGTACAAACATATGGACTCCAACATGTGGTGATGACATGTAAAATATAATACTTGAAATATTTACTATTCGTAATGATGGATCGAGAATTTTAAGTAAATAATGACAAATAAGACCTATTGGAGCATTTATATTAAGTGCAATCATATTTTAAAAAGTCATATCATCTAATGGTGTTTGAAGAATCAATTTCGCGGAATCTAGATCAGCATTATTAATAATTATATCAATTTGAATATCATTGAATGCATCAGTTTTACGAACTGAATTTTCTGTTGTATGAGGTTCACTTAGATCTTGAATAATGACATGACATTTAGTTTTATCGTTCAAACGTCGAAATTCATTAGCTAATTCATTGAGTTTGTCTTATGATTGTGCAACTATAACTAAGTTAAAATCATGTTGAATAAGTTGAAGACAAATTTGAGCACCAGTGACAATTAGATATGATGATTGACGAGCAACTTAAGGTAGATGAGTTGATTTTTGTTTACTTGAAAACAGGTAACTAAAAAATATAAATAGTAAGCAAGTAAATATATATTTTACCAATCACTCCAATATTAGTAATTCAAAAATAATAAAGGTCAGTTAATATTGTCACAGTTGATAGTTGACTCGATAGTGTTCTTTTTCTCTTTGAATTTTCCCCTGACACTCAAGGACACAAACTTTACTTTGTTTCAAGTTAAGTATGATTTTCAATCACAAAAAGAAAAAAATTCATATTCTTTTAAATACATTTAGAAAATAATGAAGCACATGTTCTCTACTTTTTTTTGACATATGTTCGTAGTTTGCGGGATTTTTTCTTATTAATAAGTCACACTCACTATAAAATAAAGAAGAAAAGAAAGAAGTTGCATAGTTTTAATAGATATTTTTTCTGAAAGTGGAACTATGGAGTGCAAAAGGAATCAACACCAAAAAATGTACATTAGCAATGAAGCAAAAAGGCAATACACTAATGTAGTTTTGGTTTAGCTACCAAATGGTTTCTTTTTCTTGCGTTCCTATCTCTACCATATGAATAAAAACCTAACAATAGGATGTGTAAACAAACTCAATACTGGATTTTTTTTTCCAATGTAGCTACATCGTATCTATAGATTTTCAACTCAATGAGTTTGATTGGACATGGATATACGACAACTCAAATAAGAGATTATTTCTTGGATCACTTCGAAAATGACCAAAGTTTATCAATATATTTTGAATGAAGAGTATATTCATTAATTATTTATTGTCGAAAAATAAAAGACGACATCATTATTTAGTCCAATCTCTTTTCCTACGCCACATTGAGATGAAAATACTGAAACAGTTTTCATATATTTTTGCTTATGGCGTGGGAACAAATGGAATTGTACACATGGTAAGCAACTTAAAAGTAAAAGCAAAAAGTTTACTGGGCCTTGCTAAATATTTTCATCGTAGATGTTGCTCTATCAGTTGGATCGACTTTGGTTAGCCACTTGACCGATATCAGAGAGAATTGCTTGTACAGTGGGATGATCGATTGTGTATATTGATTGATATATTGTTAGAGATTTAGTCAAATATTGAAGAGAATTCGTGAATGATCCCATTTCTAGGTAAATAGAGCCAATGTTGTGCAGTTCATCAGCTTCGAATAATCGATTTTCTTTTTCAAACGAGATTTGCTGTTGATAGTTTAAAGCATGAAGGGCATGCCTAAGTGCCTCTTTCAAATTTGCGAATTTTCTATACAAACGCTCAAGATTCTGATGAAATTTCAATAGTATAGATCGATCTGACTGTTCGGAATTTTCACTAATTTGTAGCGCTTGATCATAGAGTTGAATAGCTTCCAGCGGCTGTGACGATTCGAGAATAGAGGCGACCATCAATATGAGACGAAAAATAAGTGGATGATGTTCGCCAAAGATTTTCTTGAGCTTCTGCAAACGTTCGTCGAATAGTGCGGGAATTTTCGATGTTTGATTAATCTTTGTATAAATACGCAAGACAGAATCGAGATATGTAATTAATAACGGATGATCCAAAGGTAGAATTTCTTCACTCAAATTCAGTTGCCGATGAAATAACTCAACAGCTACAGTGAAATTATTTGAAGCTTCATGAATATCTGCAATGTGTCCCAAAATTTCAATTGTTAATAGATGTTTCTCAGGCAAAATTCGTTCATATATGCTTTGAGCACGTGTCAAATATTCGAGTGCCTTAGATGACATACCATCGTGTTGGTAAGTTAAGCCAATGTTTTGGTTCACTTTTGCTTTTGTCACATGATCCTTGTCGCCCACATAAAATTGTTCGAAAATGTTCAATGCTTCTTGGTGACTCTTGAGACTTGCCGAAAAATTGGATGTTTCCATTTGCAGAACACCAATGTTGCCGTAGAGTGAGGCCATTCCCAAAAGATTTTCACGAACTCGTTCACGACGGATTTCCAGTGCCCATTCATAATCACGAAATGACAACATATGTTTACCATTCTTTTCATGTAAAATAGCTCGTTGTTGTAAGATATCTGGAACATTAATGTTGTCAGATGGGTATGATGAGAGTAGTTGATCAAAATAGCGAATTGCTTCATCTATTTTTTCAAAGCCATGTGCCATGATAATACCAAAGGCGACATTGGTTGAATGATTCTGAATGAATGTTTCGTGTACAATACTATAGTAGGGATGTTTCTTGATTAAATTTTCAGAGACAGCTCTCATTTTGACATTCCAAATTTCTGAAAACCAATCGTATTCCACAGCGGTAACATTAAAAAGAGCACCACAATTGAACAAAACTTCCTGTTCGCTGCGGTATCGTGCACGATGTTCGATTTCGGCAAAGCTAGTGATGCCCTGCGATGATGTGTCGAGTGAAATCTCAATGAGTACCCGTTGCATGTTGATCCGAAGTACGCTACGCATAGCGAAATCTTTTGCTTCACTCAAACTTATCGAAGTAGAAAAGAAACTGTTGATGGCTATTACAGCGCCTACGCTCTCCCCGAGTTTGTCCAGTTCGTGTCGTGGCAGTTGTTGTCCACTATACAATTTAATAACAGAATTTGAACCACTAGTGATTTTTGAAGGGATAGTTCCAATTGCCTTTTGTTGTTTGACGTATTCTCGTTCGATTTCTGCACTGAGGTCACTAATGAAGTAACGAAAAGCATAGAGAAGATCAATGTTCTCGCTGCGTAACACCTTGTTAACAAGTTTATAAACAAAAGAATCGGCAGTATACCATTCAATGGCCATTTCTGAGGTGTATCTGTTACGAAAATTTTCGATCTGCAATAGTTCTGCCCTTTGTTCAGCATAGTATTCCTGACTCTTTTTGATCATTTCTTGTTTGGCTCTTTCATCTCGAGGCAAAATTTTAAGAACTTCGAGCAAGTGCTGATACCAAATGCTATTTAAAATAATTGGAGAAACTATTCGCGACCATTTCTGCTTTTGATCAAAAAGATTGATCGGAGATTTGACTTCTTTACTTGAAATCATGAGCATGGTTGCACGAACCGACTCGACAAGAGTTTTTGGATCGGTGAAAATGCCTATCAGTTTATCATGTCGTAACTTTCGATAATTATCCGGATTGTTGCAGAAAACGAATAATGCTCGAATATCATCATCCAAATCATAATGGCTCAAATATTGAAATAGGAGCGATGCTTTTTGACCGGAAACGATAACCAGGAGAGCTTTTTCAGTGTACTTGTTACGACTAATTTTGGATATCGCATCGGCAAGATCTGATTCAAACTCGACAGTGGGAATGAGTTCACGAAGTAGCAATTGTGTTTGACGGTTCTCATCAGAATATTCTCTGATATTATCATCGATCCATAGCAGCGAAAACTCGGCACTGTTGATAGTGAATGAGCTTGAAGTGGAACGTCGAATACTTTGTATCCTAATGATCAAAAGAAGAAGACGAGCAAAGAATTCAATATGCAAAAACTATCAATAGAAATCTTTTAACGCTTGTTCTTTAACTATAAAAGTTAAAAAAACAACTCGTGACTTTTTCTTCACTTCCTCCTGAATATTAAAAACTAACAGATTGATACAATAATTAAGAAATTTCTAGGTAACTTGAAGAGAAAGATGGTATAATAAACATACTTGTGGATTGTCATACACCATATCAACAGGATCGTGAACAATTCTTTGATGGTAAACATGTGATGTTCGTTTTTTTGGTTATATTAGAAATGTTATTGACTCAATAAGCGACAAAATCTGAAGTGAAAAAAAGTTATCTATTTCAATAACATTATATCCGTGTTATTTTTATTATTTTTGTAATAAAAATGGAGAATTCGATTTCAACTACGTTTTTTAAAACTATTATCCGTACTATCGAGTTCATGTCACAAATCATCATTGTAGTCGCGCGAGAGATCTCCTGACTTTTTCCTTGTATATTCATTGTCTTTCTGTAATTTGTCTGTGATAGATGTGAAAATATCTTCAATATAGTTTTTGTGTATTTTAACTTGATTGATTGTGGCATCTGGATTCGATTCGAGCCATTTTAGTTGTTCTTCAATAGCATTGCCAATTGTTGTCTTATCTTCTAATGATAATTTGTCAAATAATTTTTTGTTATTAGTCAATTGAATTTTCAATCTATAGACATATCTGTTTGATAAAAAGAAGTGTCAAAGTAAGAATGCTTTTGTTTGAAATATTTGGAAGAGAAAACTTACGATTCAAGATCATT